GGCACCCGCCGCGGAGTCATATTAGACCTCGCCGTCCCTGGGGGGCTGCGATCTGCGAAGCTGTCGCCACTTTGGAGGGTTGCTGGGGGGCTAGCACAGTGGGTATCCGCCACGGATTCGGATTCGACCTCGCGCTGGGGGTACCCGCCGCGGAATCAGATTTGACCTCGCCATCCCTGGGGGGCTGCGATTTGCGAAACTGTCGCCACTTTAGAGGGTTGCTGGGGGGCCAGCAGAATGGGTACCCGCCGCGGAGTCACATTAGATCTCGACTGTCCAGGGGGGGAGGGGTGGTGGTGCGATTTGCGAATCTGTGGCAAGTTCTGGGGGTTGCTGCGAGGACCAGCATGGTGGGTACCCGCCGTAGACCCAGATTACTGCTCGCCCCACCTGGGGGTCTGCGATGTGTGAGACTGCTGCAGTGCTGCTGGGGGGTCCAGCGGGGTGAGGCACCACCCAAACTCAGATTAGACCTCGCCGTCCCTGGAGGGCTGCGATCTGCGAAACTGTCGCCAGTTTCGAGGTATGCTGGGGGGTCCAGCGAAGTGAGGCACCACCCGGACTCATAATAGAACTCGCCATCCGTGGGGGGGGCTGCGATCTGCGCAAATGTCACCACCTGCGAAGGCTGATGGGGGGGTCCAGCGGAGTGAAGCACCACACGGACTCAGATTGGACCTCGCCATCCTCGGGGTCGTGCGATTTCTAAACTGTCGCCACTTTCGAGGGCTGCTGGGGCCACCCAGACTCATATTAGATCTCGCCATCCATGGGGGGCTGCGATCTGCAAAAGTGTCGCCACTTCCGATGCCTTCTGGTGGATTCAGTGGAGTGAAGCACCACCCAAGCTCATACTAGACCTCGCCATCCGTGGGCTGGGATCTGCGAAACTGTCGCCACTTTCGAGGGCCGCCGGGGGATGCAGCGGGGCGACGTTGCGGACCGCCCGAAGACCTGGCGGCACTCCTTCGAGCATTTGGCTCCCGCAGTGAAGAGTGCTGGCAGGAAGCAGGAAAGCTGGCGGGCAGCTAGGCTTCCCTCGCTGCTCGCACAGATTATTGAATCATGTTGTCGAGCGCCGCGGCGACATGGCGCAGGCAGCGCTGCATCTCTAGCGCGCTACCGACAAAAACAACACTCTTCGGTCTCCTACCGTCACTTTCGTCGTCGTCCTCTGCCCCCTGCCACCTTCCATCTGCTGCTGCCGCGCTGACGGGTCGCCCCCCCCCCACCCCCACGCGTCCTGTTCCTGCCCGTCGTTCCCGCCTCAATGTCCTCTTCAAGCCTGGGCGTTCGCTCCTCGTCGTTCTGTTGTTGTCCTGTGAATCGTGCCACGTGACCGCGTCCCATGTAACTCGCACAGCATCTAACGGCGCCTGCGCTGTCATTGTCCTGGCAAATTTGGGCCAACTCCTCTTGCCACTTGATGCTAATGTGTTGGGTACGTCACAAGGTAGATCTTATACGAGGCGACTCCCTCAAAGGGGGATCAAAATGATGATTGCGCTCGCATAGTCTGGGGGCCGCTTTGGAGAGCCCAAAACGTCATCATGTGCTCAATGTGTTTGCCTGTTCCGCGTTTTGCTCCCACGATGGATGCCCCAAGATCGCTTGAAGGCGGCCCTGAAAGTCCCTGAAATGGCCCAAGGCGGCCCCAAGGTAACACTTCGAAATCCCAACATGCAACTCAAGTCACCCAGAATTGCCCGTCAAGGCCACAAGGAGGCCCGCCAACGTCAAGGCCACAAGAAGACCTCGGGATCCCCAAGAATGGGCCCCGGCGGCCTCGAAGGTAAGCCCACTACTGCCCAAGATGGCCCAGAGGTGGCCCTAGAAATCTCCAGATGCCCCCGAGACCATCTAAATATTATACACTTGCATCAATATGACCGCAGGGTGGCGCAAACTGGGGGGTCCGCAGCACAGGGCGCAGCCGTTCATATCCGCGGGGCTCCCTTGTGGGGCCATCAGGCTGCGGGGCTGAAGTTTGCTGCAACCTGCTCCAGTTCCAGCTTCCAGTGTTATAGTTTCACTGTCTGGCTCCTACTGTAAATTGTTCCTGTTGGCGTGAAGGGGGGCAAGTGCTCTGAATTTTTGGAGGAACCTGGGACACGCAAAAATGCATAAGGTTCGCGCCCCCAGGCCAAAAATACCCGGCAACTTACACCAGACTCGCGGCCCCCAAGGCCAGAACCCTTCAGTGATTTGCACCAGAATCACGCTCCCGAGGCCTGAACCCTTAGTAAACTACGCCAGCGCGCTCTCGAGGGCAGAACCCTTTTGCAAATGACGCTGGGGTCATGCAAATTACGCCAGATTCGCGATCCCAGATCTAGAATACCTTATAAGTTGCGCCGGATCCGCGCTCAAATCATGATGTCGATGTCGTGCAGAGTGTTCCGAATGTGCGTGCCGGAGGCAAGAACATGTTGTAAACTACGCCATGTTCAAACTCTCGAGCCCATCATCAGATTTGCGCTCCCGAGGGAACGTGTTCTCGCCATTGAAATCAACTTCGCGCTCTCAGATCAAAACCAAAGCGTCAAACTAAAACTCCAACATGCTAAGGTGCTTGCCGAATGCCAATCGTCCTCGCATGTTCCCAGAAGTTGTCAAAACAGCGCCAGTACGCCCCGGCATCTCTCTCAGAGAGGGGAACGGTGGCATAGGGCGAAGCCCTTAGGGAGATCACACAAACCATTTGCGCGCTTCGTGCGCGCTTAGGCTCCAGATTGCCGGCGGTGCTGGCGGCGGTGGTGGAGGAAAGGGGCGCTCGAATCCTATCATGTCTCAGAGTCCGGTGGGAGGCACGCGACACCACGTCACGACTCGGGCTACTCGTGGTCAAGAAAGCAAAAGCATTTGAAACAGCAGTGCTGCGGTTATCCGATGGCTGTCTGCGCATTGAGGAACTCAGCGCAAGTGAGGATCACCTGGATCAAAAACGATTCCCCCATACCGCACCCGAGTCGTTACTCCAATGGGAGAGTACACAGCGTAAGAAGGAGAAACATGAGACATGAATGTTCTGGGAGGCCTCGTCCGCAACTTGGTCGGGGAAGGCGTCGGAACGCTCGTTACAAATTGTCTGGCGAGTGAGACCTTGAAGTGTAGGAGAGAGCGTTTTCTGCGGACGCTGGGAAAAGGGAGGAGTGGGGGGTTCGAACCGGGCCCCCCCCCCCCCCCGTGAATTGCACTGGGGGAGGGGGGGCTCGAACCAGCCCCCTCCCCTGGAGGGCGCCTGCTCGCTGCTCTCAGGCTCGGCAGCCGAGAGAAATTCTCCGCCTCCTCGGGGGCCAGCTCGCCCTGGTGGGAGGGATCGCGCGCTGGCGGGGACTAGCTAGCCTCCTCCTCCTCCTCCTCCTCCTCCTCTTCCTCCTCCTCCTCCTCCTCCTCCTCCTCCTCCTCATTCCTCCTCCTTCCTCCCCTCCTGCTCCTCTGGCACTTCACCCTCCTTGCCCGCGTCCTGTGGGCAGTCTGGGCCCCCTGCAGCTCCACGGCGAATTTCCCTGTCTCTCCACGGTGCTTTCCAACCCCCCGTCCTCCTCCTCATTTTCCTCCTTTTCGCTGCCGGGCGCTGGGCACTCGCGGAGCGAGACAGGGGCCTCCGGCGTGGCCGACCGCAGCATGCCCGCCTGCAGCTTGACATCCACCATCGCAAGGTCGCCTGGCAGCCGTCGTCGTCGCCGTCGCGTCGTGGTCTTCGTGGTCGTCGTCGTCGTCGTCGTCGTCGTCGTCGTCGTCGTCGTCGTCGTCGTCGTCGTCGATGTCATCGTCGCATGTCCTCATCGTCGCCGTCGTCGCTGTCGCCGTCGCCGTCGTCGCCGCTGCGTCGTCATCATCGTCGTCACTATCGTCGTCGTAGCCCTTATCCTTGCCGTGCCCTCGTATGAGTGCGTGCGTCGTCGTAGTCGTCGCCGTCGTCCTCCTCCTCCTCCTCCTCCTCCTCCTCCTCCTCCTCCTCCTCGCCAGGCCTTCGAAATCGGAAGGGGGGTGGCGGAGGAGGAGGAGGAGGAGGAGGAGGATTTTTTGGTTGCCCGCAAGGGGGAACACGTTTAGCGTGTTTATACTGCCTCCTCTCTCGCTGCTATCCGCTGCCTTATCGCCTCCAGTCCTCAAAGCAAAGCGCTGCAGGACGAAGAGGAGGCGGAGGAGGAGAAGGAAAAGGAGGAGGAGGAGGCGGCGATTCCGGGTGGGAGGGGCTCCAGGGCCATCGCTCTCCAGAGAACGGGAGGACCGCAGCTCGGAGCTCGTGGGAGGACGACGACGAGGAGCCAGAACGCCTCGAGGAGTACGCGGGAAGGACTGCTCGCTGCCGCCGCCGTCGTGCCCAGGCCTCCGCCGTCGGCCCCGCCGCCGCCGCCGGTCCCCGCGCGGGCGGCCGCCTAAGTCGACGGCGTCGGCGGGCGGGGCGTTGCCGCTCGCCGCCGGCTGGCGGCTCGAGCCCGGGCGCGAGGGCCGCCGCCGCGCGCTGCTGGTGCGCGAGGAGCGCGCCGTGGAGTGCTCCTGTGCGGGGGCTCGGCGCCCTCGTCGGCGTCGTCGGCCCGCCGTCTCCGCCGCGGTGCTCGGCCGTCGAAGCCGTGGTCGACGGCGTCTCCGCAACCGCCGTGGTGCTCGAGGTCGTCGTCGCCGCCGCGCGTCCTCGCCCGTCGCCCGCTCGAGCCCCTCGGGCCGCCGGCCCAGACCGAGCCCCCACTGGCGGCGACGACGGCCACAAGCACGACGGCCGACGGCGGAGACGACGGCCGACGACGATGACGATGATGACGACGACCCGGACGACGAGGACTGCGACGGCGACGACGACAGACGAAGACGACACGAACATGGACGAGAACATCGTTGACCACGACGGCGACGCCGTACGGCGACTTTTTTACGACGACGGCGTGCGACGCACGACGGGCGAAGGACAACGGAAGACGACGATTCACGACGACAGCGGACGACAACAGCGGACGCGACGGCGACGCATGTCCTGCAACCTTCCTCTCGGCCTGCCCCCATTCCTCCATCCTCCCGGGGGGGACAAGGGAGGAGGAGGAACGACGAGGACCCCCAAACAGCGCCCGCACCCCCGGAGGCCTCGCGAAGGCTGCCAAAGCTTGGCGCAGCTGGGCCGCCGATGGCGATGGGCCGCCGGGGCTTCCGGGCTCCCCAGTTCGGGGGCGCGCAAACATGGATTAGCGATCGAGGAGGGCCGACGGCGGCGGAAGAGGGGGAGGGAAAACAATACGGCGCCCTCCCTCGTGGGCCAACAGGCTGAGGAGACCGAGCCGGCCTGTTCCCTGCATCCTTTCCCACCCAAATGTTATGAAACAGGTTAAAACATATATACACATACATACAATTGGACACGTACAGTGGAGGCCAGTCCACAAGAAACCTTCGACAAGAAACCCAACCCTGGAACTCCCGGGCGTCCCTTGATTTTTGGTATGGGAACGTCGCGTTTTCCATCGAATCCATGGATCGGGGGAGGTGCTCTCCCCAACGAATTGTTTGCAGGCGGATCTGCCGTCAAGGAGGAGAGACGCGTCTACACTCTGTAAGAGCGTAGTTTTTGAGGGCAGATCTGCCTCCCCAAATAACGCTCTTACATATTAGACCAAGATTTCATCCTTGCAGCGAAGCGAAGCGCGCAGATCCGCCGGAGCGGGACCCTTGAGTGTCGGCGCGGGGGGCCTTGGGGGCCCTAACTCACATGTCATAGTACATGTTTACTTTACGATCTCGAATGTGTACGATTTGCTTCACTGATACAGTCCTTCCCATGAGTTTGAACATGCAGCGTCATACAAAGGAGGGGCGCGCTTGCCTCACAGACGTGCGTGCGATACCCATCACCTCATACGTTTGTGCGACGTCCTTCTTGCAAGGCAAATGCGAACCCGGTGTCTCCCCCGCATGCCAATGGCTTGCAACGATCCTCCCACCGCCCCCCCTGCCGCTGCCGCCACCGAGGTTACTGTCCCTCCTCTCGCCAGTGCCCCTGCCCTGTCTCGGGGGCGAGAGACGGGGGGAGGGGAGGGGGGAGGAGGCGAAGGAAGGGAGAGGGGGAGGAGACGGAGAGGAAGCAGGAGGAGGCGAAAGAGGATGGAGGGAGAGGATGGCGAAGGAGGGGAAGGGGGATGAGGCGAAGGAGGGGGAAGGGGAAGGAGGCGGAGAGAAAGCAGGAGGAGGAGAGAGAGGCGAGAGGAGAGAGAGGAAGGGCCAGAAGAGGATGAGGAGAAGGATGAACATAAGGAGAAAGAGGAGGAGCGAACATCCGTGACAGAGCGACGTCCAAGCTGCACGATGCCGCGCCGCTGACGAATCAGAGAGTAGCCTCGAAGCCTCACGCCAGCTCTGACAGCGTACTCCGCTCGCAGGCGCATCTTGGTCGGCAAGGCCATCGGGTGTCCGTGGCGGCCCTCGCGGGGCCTCCTGCCTGGCTGCCCCCTCGCAGTGTTCGTCCTGGCCGTGCTGGCCCTGCCGTGGGCGCGGGCAACTGGCAGGTTGGACGATCGGTTGCGCCAGCGCGTGTACGTGGACGACTTCACGCTCTCTGCGCGTGCGGCCGCGGGAGACGGGGCGGAAGCCGCCGAAGCCGTGCGGGACGCGTTGCGCTTGACGGCTGCTTTTGAGACGGCCATGGGCCGGGCCCTGAACCGCGCCACGAGCAAACAGTTCGCGAACAGCAAGGAACTGCGGCGCTGGCTCGCGGAGCAGTTCCGTGAGATCCGCGCGAGCACCGAGATCCAGGACCTGGGTGTCGCGACCACTGCGGGCAGGGCCAGGCGCTGTGCAGTCACCGCGGCGCTTGCGCGGGGCCTCCACGCGGTTCGCCCGCCTCGGCCGCCTGCCGCTAAGCTTCGGGAGCCGCTGCCAGCTGGGCGCAGCCGCTGGCACGGCAGCGGGCCTGTACGGCGCCGCGTGCGGACGTCCGCTAGCCTGCGAGCTCGCTGGCCTGTGCGCGGCAGCGAAGAAGACCATTTGCCGCGGTGGCCTGCGCGCGTCCGCGGAGATCGTCTTCGGCGTCCTGGCGCCGAGCTGGCGTCTTGATCCGATGGCCGTGACGGTGATCGCCCCGTTGCGGCAGCCCGCAAAAGCGCTCCGTCGGAGGCGTTTCCCAGCAGACCTGGGGCGCGAGGCCGCGGGCGCGATGGCCACAGGGCACGGCTCGCGATTTGACCCGATCGCAGCCGCCCTCCGCAGCGTGGCAGAGCTACAGATGGGGGCCGACATCGAGGCCTGGAGTGGCATCCCAGAGACCCCCGACGGCTGGCGCCCAGCCGCCCGCGCCCTCCCAGACACGCGCGCGGCGCTGCTGGAGGCATGGGGGAGGCGGGAGCCCCGCGAAGTCGCCAGGCGCCGCGCGGACTACCAGCACCTCTCGGGGAGCGTGGACCGCTGGGCGACTCGCCGGCTTTTGGAGACTGACCAGCTGGCGCCATTGCGGTGCCGCAGTCGAGGACCTCGAACACCGGCTGTGGGCGTGCCCGCGATGGCAGACGACGCGCCACGCGGCTCTCGCCACGAGCGGCTTCACCGCGGCCGAGGCACGCGCTTGCCTGCCAGCCGAGACCGCGAGGACAGCGGTGCTCCCCCTGGACGCTCGCCTGGCCGCGCTGGCCGCCGTGGCCCAGCAGGCGCTCCCCTTGCCGCCGCTCCCTGACCCCGCCGCGGAGGAGCTGCCGCACGGGCGGGTCCGCGCCTGGACGGACGGTTCCTGCCTGCACCCAGGGGACCCCTTGCTCGCCCGCGCGGGACGGGGCGCGAGGTTGGAGGGGCTTACCTCTGGGTGCATCGACCGCCATGGCCAGGTTGACGGGCGGCAGACCGCGCGGCGTGCGGAGTTGTGGGCTTTGGTGCAGGCGTGCAGCCTAGCGGGGGCATCCGTTGACGTCGTTACTGGTTCCCGATTCGTGAGTCGCGGGGTGGCGGCGCTTCGGGGAGGCCCGAGCGAAACGAACTGGCCGCACGCCGACCTTTGGGCAGCAGTCGCGCAGCACTGCCGTAGCGGACTGCTGCGGGCGCGCTGGGTCAAGGGCCACCTGGACCAGGCTGACGCCGCTGCCCGCGGCATCGCCCAAGCGGACTGGACTGGCAACGCAGCCGCCGACAGGCTCGCCGACGCCGGCGCGCGAGCCCAACTCCCGCCTCTCGACTTGCGCCAGCGGTGGGCGAAGCAGCTGGACGCGCTCGAGGCGCTCCAACGCGCAGCGGCCGCAGTGGAGCTGGCTGGTCTGAAAGCAAACCACGGCCACGGCCCAGGCGGGCCCAGGGTGCGGCGCCGCTGGGCCACGCCAGGGCACCGCCGGAGGCGCGCGCGCCCCGCGAGGGGGACGCGGCCGCGGTGGCCGCAGCCACGGCGCCGCCGCCGCAGCGCGGGCTGGGCGGCTCCCCAGCGCCCGCGGCGGCACCGCGCCTGGGGCCGCCGCGGCGGCGCGGGATCTCTTCGCGAGCCGCGCCTGGCTGGCGCACGCGGCGTCCCAGGGCCCGGCTTGGGTCGCCTACATGCGCTGCGAGTGCTGAGCGCCGGGGTGGCCGCAGTTGGCCAGCCGCCCGTGCGGCGGGTGGATGCCCGCGTTGCCGCCGCGAGCGGGCATGCTGCTGCTGCTGCCGGCAGCGCGCGCTGGCGGCAGCGAGGCGGCGTGGCGGGCCGTCCTCCAGGATCGGCTGGCAGCGCGCCCTGGCCCGCCGGATTGGCCCGGCACGGGGCCACGCGGGCGTGGGCTTTTGCCCCCTCGCCCTCTTTTTCCGTCCTCCCCCTCGGCTTTGCCGCAATCGTCGTCTTTTCGTTCTTTCCCTCCTCTCGCCGCTGGGCTCCGTTGCGATGGTAAAAGCACTGCGGGCGGCGTGGTCCGGATGCTGTGGTAGTGCTCGGGGTCCTACCGCCTTGGCTGGGGCGACTTGCCCTTCGATCAGGTTGGTCGAATAGCAGACCACCGCCACGCGTGCAGGATGTCGTTCTCGCGATCCAGGGTGTCGCCGCCAAGACCGCTCTGACTCGACCGCGCGGCACGCAACGATGATACCACATACAAGGACAGCGCATGCAGTGCCCTTGAACTGCAGCCGCATGCGCGTTCGCCGTTGTTGGGGTGGATATGCATGCAGAGCAGCTTGTGGTCCAGACCTCAATCCATGTCTTGGATGATGGCCACGTGCGGGACGGCGGCACGGTTCCCAGATGCCGCCTCGAGGCCATCCGGCGCTCCTGGAGATGATCAAGCAGATGCGCGACACCAATGAAGTACGTTGGCTCCTCATCTGCATCGCCATCAACATCAAAATTGGAGACGTACCGACCTCATGCACCAGCCGTGTTATATATCGGCATCTAGATCCCTACCAGCAGCCCTGCATGATAACATACGTGTTGAGCCGACATCCACATGCGAGCGCAGGGCACCTCACGCGGGCACGGCACGGCACAGCACGGCACAATACGGCTCGCGCACGGCACGGGCACGGCACGGCATGCGGGCGGCACACCTGCTGCACTCTCAAGACTGGGCGCGGCACGGCACGCGGGCACGGCACGGCACGCGGGCACGGCACGGCAGGCGCACGGCACCCGGGCGCTATACTTCTCGCATTCCAGAGCGCGGGCACGGCACGGCATGCGGTCACGGTGCGGCCCTTTTTCCACCATCCAGCGAAGCCCTGTAGCGAAGAAGCAAGAAGGGAAGCAAAGGCGCGAGGAGGGGGAGGTCCAGGCGCGCGGCTCGCTGCGTACAGTAACTGTGTGCACCTGATTGCTCTCGCGCCCCCAGGGGGCGGAACGGCACGCGGGCACGGAACGGCACAAAACGGCACAGGGGCGGCATCTTTTTCTGCTTCTGGATGTGAACACGGCATGGCACACGGGCACTGCACAGGACTGTCTTTCTTCGCGGACGCGGCACGGCACGCGGGTACGCCACGGCACGCGTGGACGGCACAGCCCGTGGGCACTGCACGGCACCGTGCGCGGGCGGCACATGTCTCACATTCCAGAACGCGGACGCAGCTCGGCACATGGGCGCAACACGCCACGGCACGTCGAGGGGGGGGGCACACATTTCGCATTCACAAGCGTGGGCACGGCACGGTGCGCAGGCACGGCACGGCAGGCGGGCACCGCACGGCACCCGAGCGACGGACTTCTCGCTCTGCAGTGCACGGGCACGGCACGGCACGCGGGCACGGCACGGCACGGCACGCGGGCGGCACATCCTGCGCCTTCCTAGAACGCGGCCACGGCACGACACGCGGACACGGCACGGCAGGCGGGCACGGAACGGCACACGGGTGATGGATGTCTGGCATTCTAGAACGCGGGCACGGTACGGCACGCGGGCACGGCATGGCGCAGCACGGCACGCGGGCGGCACATGTCTCGCATTCCATAGATCAGAGACCAACGCTGAAAATGCAACGGTGACCCCGATCGCTCTCGCTGTTTCCGGGAAAACTGTGGCCATCGGGGTATCCTTGATGGAGCACTGTTGGACATATTTCCATTCACACTGCAATGTCCGTTGAAGACAACGCTGGAACTACTGCTGACATCCACTCCGCACCCATCCATGGAAGCAACCGCTCCCGCGAAAGTACGCCAGCCCAATGCGCTGACATGCGTTTCAGAAGGGGAGATACACCCGCAGGTGTCGTGCCAATCGAGCTGGGCAAGCGATACTGTCAACTCGGGCTGAAGCGAACAGCGCCAGGGTATCTGCGTCGCCATTGTTCGCCAAGCTGAGGATACCACGACCAAAAAACTTGCACATCGCCTTGAAAACTGCGCTCTCATACAAGACCACTTGCAGTCCCAAGAGATATGCCTGCTTCGGATACCCATGTGAGACTATGATCAGGCTGACCTTCATGCACATGGAGTTGTACGAATCTGCCTTTGCGGGTCGCACCACAGTGCGCCGAGAACGTTAAAGGCTGCGCACGCAGCACGCTTCGCCTACTTGAAGACCGAGCTCCATGCACGTGACTTTACAGCCGGTGCGGTTGACCACATTCTGGAGACGCAGCACGATGGACGCGGGGTCGAACCAGCAAGAGGCGCAGGGCACCGAGTTCCAGCACAAGCCTGAATGATGGGTACTGTGGCATGTGCTTATCTGCGAGCGCCTGAAACCTCCCTCGTCCGCCTACCTCCTCCCTGCTCCCTCCCTCGTTCCTCCTCCTCCTTGCTCCTCCTCCTCCTCCTCCTCCTCCTCCTCCTCCTCCTCCTCCCCCTCCTCCCTCATCCTTCCTCCTCTTCGCTCGTACTCTTCCTGCTGCAACTCCCTCTACCTACTCCCCTTTTGCCCTATCACTCCTCGAGCCTGTCCTCTGCCTCGGCCGCAGTGCACCGCTCCGCGACGCCAAAGGCGAGCCACGACAAGGAGTGCCCAGGGGTGCCCGCTACAGCGATGCACCTGCCACTGCCTGCCCTGGGACATTGGTGAGTTGTGTTGTGGGACGCAGAGGGCCCAGAAGGAGCCAAAGCTCGAACTTCGTAGAAATCTCCCGGTCAGTGGCAGCAGTCCTCCCCGCGCGCGCGAAGAGGGAAGAGGAAAGCGGGCTGATTAGGAGGCCCCCGCCTTTCCCCCCTTCGCTAGAGAGTCCAAGTCAGAAGAAGAGCCTCGACCTAGACCGAACATGGGCAACACTCGTAGATGCCGTGACCGCTGCGGCGTTCTGTTTCTCCCGTCTGTATATAGCCCATGCCTGCGCGACGGGAGATCCCCCCGGACCCTTCTCCGCCGCGTTTTCCAAGGAAAGCGTCCAGGAACATCCACAGACCTCATCACTGCTCTCCCCTCCGGCTCCTCCTTCCCGCCTTGTGGATCCTGTGATCCCGTGCCTGATACTGTTCCTCCAGCCCCTCCTGCAGCTGCTCATCCTGCTCCTGCAGCTTCTCCCTTTCCTGCTCCTCCTTCGCGCTCCCGAGGGGGAGGAGCGAGGGGAGCGCTTGTTGTTGTTTAGTGGACGTGTGTGAGCGTCAAGCCCGAAAGGATAAGCCGCAGTAGCGAGGAACTACTGGGCAGACAAGCTTGGTGAATCAGCAAAACAATCAGCTGGGCTATGCAACCCACGGTAAAAATGGCAGGGTCTCCAAAACGAAGAAATAACAAAAAGAAAAGTCCTGCGGCAACAGCGTGCTGCTGGTCCCTGGCCTCCGCACCAGCCACCGCCATCCCCAGTCGCCCACCCTCCGGAGCGGTGGAGGCCTAGCACCTCCCCATCGGTGGAGGCTTGACATGCGCGGTGGGGCAGCAAAACAACACATGGGCTGCGGTGTATTCCGCCCCCCAGGAGGGGGAGGAGGAGGAGGAGGGAGAGGAGGAGGAGGAGGAGGAGGAGGAGGAGGAGGAGCAGGAGGAGGAGGAGGAGGAGGAGGAGGAGGAGGAAGGGGAGGAGGAGGAGCACGAGGAGAAGACGGACGATGACGACTCCAACCTGCCCCGTGCAGCGGCGATGGTGGCCTCACTGGAGACGATCTCCCTGGGAAGCTCTCCAGTGACGCCCGTGGCCTGCAAGGACCCCTCCCCCACCCCCTTCTCCTGCCTTTTGCCCATGCCCTCCCCCTCCTCCTCCTCCTCCTCCTCCTCCTCCTCCTCCTCCTCCTCCTCCTCCTCCTTGCAATCTGCGCTCTGCCCGTCCACTCCCAGTTCCCCTCACGGTCAGGAACTTTTGGATAGCGTGTCGCGGCGGCGGCCCCGGCGACACGCCTTCACCTGCAAGCGGATAGCGCGTCGCTCCTCTGTGCCAGGCGAAGGGCCTGGAACTGCTCAGGAAGTTGGAGCTTGGGGGTGGGAAAGTGGATAGCGTGTCGCGCCGCAGTGCGGCGGGCCAGAACCGGCGCGCGACGCGCCGAACCCCAGTTCCCGACTCCCGACCGCACCTCTACCGCTCTGCAGGGCGGTCTTCCACTCTCGCGGAGAAGGGGGCCACGATGGACTGTCGCAGGGCTGCGACGCCCTCCCAGGCGTAGCGAGCTCCAGAGGTCCAGATTGCATGTTTTGCATGCTTTGCGAATGCGTAATCAAGCCCGCACCCCCTGAGGTCCAGACTGCACGTTAACAGGAGTAGGAGGCTGCTGTTGGCCAGCCCCTCCCCTTGCTCAAGCCCGCAGACATTGAGCCCACCTCTTGAAACGAGCAGCCGAAACGGCGTGAGCCAGATTGTGAGGGCGGAAGGCAATTACGAGGGGAGCGAAGAGGGAGAGGGAGATAGCGATATCCGTCTCAGTCGATACACACACATTTATATACGTATACAAGTAGGTTTACGTATGCATGCATTGGCATGGAGGGCCCAAGAATCCCGAATCGAAAGACATTGTCATCTCTTGGGCAACAAATGTTTACGCCTGCCCACTTCCGCTGGCCTTCCGCCGGCTTCCACAGGCGGAGGCGGCCCCGTTTTACTTCCGCCAGCTGCCGCCACCCTTCCACCGCCTTCCGTCGAGCAAGAGACGACAACAACTTCGGTCCTCGAAGGCGAGGCACTTTCTGGAACGCCCCGTACACTGTTACGTGTATATATATGTATATATATATATATGTGTCAGAGTGGGCCGAACGGTCATTCATTGTCCCTGGGTGCGTGGCTAAAGTGCGGATCCGTGGTGAGGATTCTGCTCGTTGTTGTGATTGTTGTTGTTGCTGTTGTTGTTGTTGCCGTTGAACATTATTAATTCTAAAGAATAATTATTGTTGGGGCCCCTGGCGCACGGCCCCCCTGCGCCGCCTAGGCCGCAGCTACATTTTCATCATTTTCGTGAGGAAGCCTCAGGTAATTCGATGTGATCAAGATCCGGTTGTTTTGTTCCCCCCCGCTTTCCCTTGCAAAAAACACTATAAAATGACATTTCTTGTTCTAATATAATCAAATTTCAAGAATCCCTTGCAAAAAATAAGGTAAAGTGGACATTCGCGCGCGCAAGACGAAATCCTTCCAAAAGCTTAGTGTTCGGAGCGATTTTAACATAAAAACATCAAAAAACCAATGGTTTTTCAACAAAAAAATGTCAAAATCTCATCCCGCGCGCTCTTGCGGATTCGTAGGAAACCCAACACTTTTTAAACATTTCTGTCAAACGGGCTTTTGCGAGCAACTTTTTCGAACTTCTGCGACAACGGTTGCGCACCTGCCAGGGCCATCATCCCTGTCAAATAATACCATGCGGGACACATTCGTTTTTTCTTCGCGCGCGCACGCCGAAATCTCCAAAAACCATTGGGCTTCTTAAGAATTTTAGCACCGCGCATCATAAAATCACACGAATCGCACCGTAGGTCCTCGAAAAACACCTGCACGACTTTTCAAAATTTCTACCCGCGCGCGCTGTCCTAACAACTTCTGTGGGTGTGTACTCCACGCCAGTGTAGTAGCCACGGTCGTCCGCAGGCCACGAAGTGAAGTGTCCGAACGTCATAGGGCGGGAAGCTGGGTGTGGGTGGTGGCGAAGAGTCGTGTGGATATTTGGTAGAGCTTGCACTGCCCCCCCACAAAGTGGGGGTATTGGCTGGCGTCGCATGAAAACCCTGGCACTGGTGAGAACACTGAGCGTTCGGGTAAAGTGATTGCTGTTGTTGTTGTTGTTGTTGTTGTTGTTGTTATTGTTATTATTGTTGTTGTTGTTGTTGTTGTTGTTGTCGTAACCCCCCCGCGACCCGGCCCGAGACCCACCCCGCGACCTACCTCGCGACCCGGCCCGAGACCCACCCCGCAACCCAAGCGCGACCCACCCGCGACCCACCCCGCGACCCACCCGCGACCCACCCGCGACCCACCCGCGACCCACCAACGACCCACCCGCGACCCACCCGCGACCCGGCCCGCGACCCACCCGCGACCCGGCCCGCGACCCACCCACGACCCACCTTCGACCCAGCCCGCGACCCACCTGCGACCCAGCCCGCGACCCACCGACATTTGGTTCGTTGTATAGCTTCAAAAATGTTGCGCCTGCAGCGTGCTTTTTCAAAGCCTCGCAGACTTCCGACATTCCCGCCGCCTCCTCACTCTTATCCGCCACTGCTGGGTGCTACGTATGTGTATATATATATATAGGGAGAGAGAAGGAGAGAGAGAGAGAGAGAGAGAGGGAGCGAAAGAGAGAGAGAGAGAGAGATTGAGCGAGACAGACAGAAAGAGAAACAGGGGGAAACAGAGAAAGAGAGAGAGAGAGAGAGAGCGAGAGAGAGAGACAAAATAACTATCCTGGCGAAGGACCCAACAATATGCAATTGTGGGTACAACAGTTGTGGATATCTTCTTCGGTGAAGCTCCTTATGGGGCCGCTAAGCGCTGCACAGTGTGGGGGGGATGCACGCGGGCGGTAGTATTGGGGCCGTCGGTAGAGCCCACTTATGGGGCCACGAAACGCTGTACTGGGTGGGTGAAAATGCCAAATTGGGTTTCCGGGACGCATGCGGACGGTCCCACTGGGAGCTGAGCTCCCAATGGGGCCGCGAAGCGCTGCACTGTGTGGGTGAAACTGCCAAGCTGGGCTTCCGGGGCGCATGCGGACGGTCCCACTGGGGGCTTCGTTGGAGCTCCTTATGGAGCCACGCAACGCTGTATTGGGTGGGTGAAACTGCCAAATTGGGTTTCCGGGACGCACGTGGCCGGTCCCATTTTGTTGGCTTCGGTGGAGCTCCTGATGGGGCCACCAAGCGCTATACTGGGTGGGTGAAAGTGCCAAATTGAATGTGCGGGACGCATGCGGACGGTCCCACTGGGGGCTGCGAGGTGCGTGAAACTGTCAAATTGGGTGTGTGAGACTCACGTGGGCGGTCCCACTGGGCCTTCGGTGGAGCTCCCTATGTGGCCGTGAAGCGCTGTACTGGGTAGGTAACAAAACCAAATTAGGTGTGCGGGACGCATGCAGACGGCCCCACTGGCCACGAAACGCTGTACTGGGTGTGGCGGACGCATGTGGCCACCCCTACTGGGGCCCCCAGTAGGGCCTCCAGTGGAGCTCCCTATGGTGCCACGAATGGCCGTACTGGGTGTGGCGGACGCATGTGGTACCCCCCCTCTGGGGACTTAGGTGGAACTCCCTATGGGGCCACGAAGCGCCGTACTGGGTGTGGCGGACGCATGTGGTCCCCCCCCCCCCCTGGAGCCTTAAGCTCCCTATGGGGCCACGAAGCGCCGTACTGGGTGTGGCTCACGCATGTGGTACCCCCCCTGGGGCTTTAGGTGGAGCTCCCTATGTGGCCACGAAGCGCTGTGTTTGGTGTGGCGGGTACACGCGGTACCCCCACTGGGGCCGTCGGTGGAGCTCCCTCTGGGGCCACGCAACGCTGTACTGGGTGTGGCGGACGCATGGGGTCACCCCACTGGGGCCTTACGTGGAGCTCCCTATGGGGCCACGAAGCGCTGTTGAGGCTGTGGCGGACGCACGTGGTACCCCCACTGGGGCTTTACGTGGAGCTCCCTATGGGGCTACGAAGCGCTGTGCTGAGTGTGGCGGGTGGTACCCCCACTGGGGCTTTACGTGGAGCTCCCTATGGCCCCACGAAGCGCCGCACTGGGTGTGGCAGACGCATGTGGTACCCTCCCCTGAGGCTTTAGGTGGAGCTCCCAATGTGGCCACGAAGAGCTGTGCTGGTAATGGCAGACGCATGTGGTACCCCCCCCATCAGGCAGATGCAGTTGTGGGCACCAGAATTGTGAATATTTTCTTCGGTGAAGCTCCCTATTGGACCACGAAGCGCTGCACTGGGTGGGGGGAACGCATGCGGGCGGTAGCATTGGGGCCGTCGGTGGAGCTCCCTCTGGGGCCAAGCGCTGTATTGGGTGGGTGAAAATGCCAAACTGGGCTTGCGGGGCGCATGCGGACAGTCTCACTGAGGGTTTCGGTGGAGCTCCCTATGCGGCCACACAAAGCTGTATTGGGTGGGTGACTAAATTGGGTTTCCGGGACGCACGCGGACTGTCCCACTGGGGGCTTCGGTGGAGCTCCCGATGGGGCCACGATGTGAAGCCCTCTATTGGGCCACGAAGCGCCGTACTGGATATGGCAGACGCATGTGGTACCCCCCCTTTGGGGCCTTCGGTGGAGTTCCCTATGGGGCCACGAAGCGTGGTACCCCTCCCTGGGGCTTCAGGTGGAATTCCCTATGGGGCCACGAAGCGCCGTACTGGTTGTGGCGGACGCATGTGGTAGCCTCCCGTGGGGCTTTCGGTGGAGCTCCTTATGGGGCCACGAAGCGCCGTACTGGGTGTGGTTCACGCATGTGGTCCCCCCCCCTGGGGCCTTAGGTGGAGCTCCCTATTGGGCCACGAAGCGACGTACAGGCGGACGCATGTGGTTTCCCCCCCTGGGGCTTTAGGTGGAACTCCCTATGGGGCCACGAAACGGCGTAGTGGGTGTGGCGGACGCAAGTGGTACCCCCCACTGGGGCCTTCGGTGGAGCTCCCTATGGGGCCACGAAGCGCTGTACTGGGTGGGTGAAACGCATGGAGGAGGGAGGAGGGAAGGGTGGGTGGGACGCGGGGCGCTGTCTCTTCAAAGCGA